CAAACATAACATCAAAAATTAAATATAACTTTGTTAAACAGATCAAGCCACACTCAGTCATTACACACAACTTACTTGTACGTTTAGTTCTTCCACAATCAATGCGAGCTCTTATAATTGCACATAACCACAAATCGCGCTTACCCATAAACCAAACCCCCTTTAATGTAAGCTCATTCATTGAGTATTTTGATTGAACGAGGGCGAAAGGAATTAGTCTGTTCATTTAGACATTTGTTTGAAGGCATGAGTGGGTATTGTTGGTGCAGAACATGGGAGAAATCAGAGGAGAGAGATACTAACAACCAGTCTGAAAGCTCTGCTCAACTGGCTATAACTATATTGATTTATATAGCGTACTATTTAGTATAGAGTACATATATATAAATATTAACATTCTTTACCTGCACCAAGGTTATTCGGTACTTGTCACAGTTGAGATTAATTGTCGAATATTCTGTTTTCAGGGATTTTGAAATGGTCATTCGTCCTGGTAAATAATACTCAATCTGCTCTAGAGAGACGATGTTTTACCATGGTCCTGGGTGACACCTGTGAATCTGGATTTTTTTCCCCCCAGAGAAGTTCTTTTTAATCACAAGCTAATTCATTTCTTTGTTTTATTTTTCGGTTTTTATTTTTTATTTTTTCAAATCTACGGTTAATAAAAAAAATCTCTTAAAAAGCAGAGGCAGATATCGACCGCTCATTGAGTTTCAGGAGCTGTATCTCCGCAGAAAGGGGGAAAAAACATGAAGGATCTCATACGTCGTCATCCCTGTGTCCGCTCGTCACAAACTGATTGTAGGTCACGATCTGTCTAAGCAGAAATAAGGGAGGACATTTTAATCAATCGTGGAGAGGCTGCGTGAAGTTCAGAATTATTTTTGTGAACAGTAAGTGAAGTATACTAACTTTTAAACGAGAGACGGAGTACAAAAACAGGAAAAAAACTCTTGACGATTAAGAAGATCTCTTTAAGGCACCCGTTCGCAGGCTAATGATGAGAGCTCATCTGGAAAGAAAGCCAGCAGACACTTCATCCCAGGACCAGGGTAGGGAACGACTGTTCTTCAAGATACAAGGTGAACTCACTCGTGAACACCTGTACAGACTAACACGTCCCGTCTAATGTTCGCCATCTAGTGGCCACTATGAAGATCTACAACTGTCTTCGTAAACGCCTTGATATTCTTGTCTTTACCGGCTCTGTTAAATTGCCCCCCTACAAACAGCACAATGAAACCCGGCGTCATTTCTTAACCACTGCTTTTAAGAAACAGACATTAAAGAAGTCTCAGGAGCGACTGTTTTCTCAAGCAAGGCCAACCGTAAAGTTTACAGCATGCAAACATTCCCTTTGCAAAAAGACCCGTCTTCGAACATTCAAACTCTGTTCTGATTTTTTTTCCCGATTAAAATAACCAGAACGTGGTGGAATCGAACGTGTTTGGTTAAGACCGCGCTTGTTAAGCACAGACCTCTTAAGTTTCCTTTAGGCACGGCGTGACGTCCCGTGTTCAGGTGACTTCATTAAAAAAAAACAGGGAAGAATAGAAGCGTCTAGAGTCAGAGAAACAAACTTGAATCATGTTCGAAAAGTCCGATTGCCTGAGAGACGCAATGCCAAAAACCAATCACATTCAATCATCTGATTGTTAGAGCTGTTTGTGACAGGATTACCTAAGGCAACCCCACTGCTTCTCAACTAGAGCTCACTGGCATATAAACCAGTCCAGTTCGTACCCATCTACTGGGCTCGGGGAGAACAATCAGGTGAGCATTCTCGGGGATGGCGGGTCGTTTTTTTTTTTCTGAATACGCAAAAGGTTTGCCCTCACTATCTACCGCCCATTGCTCGGTAGAATTCACATGCGGTACCGTCTGGACCTACGGCTGGTGTGTACGGTACTGTAGGTGATGCGGTACGGTTGTAGAGAGAAGGGAACTTTCGACCGAGCGCAGACAGGCTTCTCTTTGCCCTCTTGGACTGGCTTGGGGCTCCGAGCGCAGCTGGTAGTGCCAGGAAATTGTACCTACAAAGGCGGCGGTGCCCCGGGGCCGGGACAGTGCTCACTAGAACAACACCCCTGAAACACAGTTGCCTGCTGTGGATAACCAGCGCCCAGGAAGCAATGGGAGGGAGAGAGAGGATGAGGACGCCTTTAAATGAGAGAGAATCAAATCTGGAGAAGCGGGGGAGGGGGGGGAATTATCGTTGTCTTGACGTCGCTATCGCTGTGTTTTTTTTACGTATGCATTCTGCTATATAGTTTTCATGCCGCTTAATTATAGCGTTGAAATATAGGTTTTATATAAAAAAAATGTTTAGCGTTTCGGAGAAGTTTGGCTTTAAAAGGGCAGAGAGTCTGGTTAATCCTCACGGATTCAGCGAGCATGGATATATTAGTGTGTCGGCAAATCAGGGCGCGGGGATTAGAGAAAGGATGATTAAGGAAAATTAAAGAAGGACGGAAAGATGAAGCAAGGGGAGGTTTGCGTGTTTCAAAGAACAGGCGCCGCAGGGCCAACGTGTCTTCTAACCGGCGCCCTGTGATGAGCTGAATGATGAGCCACGTACATTCAGACTGGTGCGATACTGCTGGAGGTCTCTCTCTCGCCCCCTGGGAAACGTCCAGTACACCCCAAAACAAACTCAGCGCCGTGGCTGCATTCCCCTCTTTTTTGTTATGAGTCTGTTGGTAGGATAGCTTAATCGAAACCAGGAAGACATGAACGCAGCGATACGCGTGTCCATCCACAACAAGAGAGAACATCTCCTACTTTGCCGAGCAGTGTTGTGACGTTGAATAATATCCCCGAGGACAGACTATCTGTGAATTATAAGTTTACTACTAAACTGGTTACAAAAGTACATTGGAATTTATTTGGAAGCTAAATAGTAGGATGTGGAACCACGCTGGTCTTAGTGCCTAATCGTTCCACTGTAGTATTTTAAACCGGAAGCTTGCGAAGTACTGTGATTAAATACAGTATATAGTAAGCAATCGTACTCTTAGTGTCTGCGGGGTCATGTAAAGACTTTTGCGTGCGCGTATGTTGTTTATCGACTTAGTGGGGGCTGTACGCTGTCATCCAGCAGCTACTGTACGCAGGACCCGGCGCGGCGTCAGCAGGGACTCGTTTCCGACGAACCGGAGTTTCCACGGCGCGGTCCAGGAGCCCGGGAGCGGTCCAGCAAGAGCAGGGGCACCGCCAAAGCGTCAAAGTCATAGGCGAGGAAAACAGACCTTCATAGATCCTCCATGGGCAATCGTCAAGCACATCAAATACGGTCCGTTGTTATTCTTAAAAAAAGAAAGAAAACGCCTTGAGTAATATTCGCTGTCCTTGTGAAGGTACTGCGTCATTTACTGTACATCGGCTAGGCTACGTTCCACACCATGGGGACAAATTAAGATTTTTTAAAACTCAGTTGTACTGTAACATGGAGACAATTAAACATGTGCCAGAATAAGTCAGTGTTGCACTCCTCTCTTTTTAAATTACCGCTGCTAGAAAAAGTATTATTTTGCAGCAGCTGTTTTTTTTATTGGATTGCGCTGCACGAAAATGATTTACGAGTATCAACCAAAAAGTCCAATAGCCTTCAGTGTCCATTGCCTGTGGACTGTTAACGAGGCTGTGTAGTAGAAAGCGCTCTCGGCATTTCAGTCAATTCTCGGCTGTAACTTCGTGAAACATCCCAGCCTTTTAATTAAAAATAACTTTTATTAAAGGGGACCCTCGTCGCATCTAAGTGGTATTCCTAACACGTCGGTTTTTAGAAAACGTTTGTCCAACATTTTAGTTTATTAATAATGCATGAAATGAGATTTTATTATGCTCCGCGGGTGCAAACTCTAAGCGATCGATTTCTTCACTTTTCATTTATATGATGGAAGTACAGAACGGCCGAGGTACCCAGAGAGCCGGAAAGTGTGCTGAACTTAAAAGAGATGCGCAAATTGAAGTCGAAAGTTTAATTTTCACTTGGGGAGAAATTAGTGTTTAAAAGCTGTTGTCGACAACCCTCCACCACCTTTCATCCGCGGCTTTTCAACTCGATAAATGCCACCCCGTCAGTGCCATTAAATCTGACGTTTAGTTCGTGTGATTTACAGCGGTGGGACTTGGCACATGAAAAAAAAGCGCATTCTAGATGGAAAGGAAAGGTCGTTAAACGCGCTACAACTGGAGCTTTCGCAAATCAACTCGCTGTCAGTACGCAGACAGCGGCTTGACAGCAACATCTACTGCCGGGGGTGGAGAGGAGGCGCTTCAGATACTGCATTAAATAAAGAGAGGAGTGGAGTAATTTGAGTGGGAGTTAAAATAAAGACAGCACGGATTCCGGGCTCTTTAGAAAAAACATCAGAATATCCACCCCTCCTCCTTGCCCGACAACAAGAGTGTCACTTTTCTCTTCAGTCGGATTCCTGAATTCCCGAGTCTTTCTCCTCCGAGGGAAGTTTTCAAGGCTCGGCTCAGCCAGCGGGGTGCCGTCCCCTGCGCTCTCTCTCTCTCCCCCCGCGGTCCTGGATTTCCTGCCGCGGGGACAGCCAGACACACAACGGGGTCTTGCGCTCTCTCACAATGTGTGGTCTTCGCGAAACCCGTCCGTGCGAGGAGTCGGGAAACGCCAACGCTACGGAGCGGCACGGCAGCAAAGGCAAGTCAACCCGCCTTCTCTCTCCCTCCGACTCGCACGTAGTTTTACGGGCTAGCTCCCTCGTCACTGTAAGAACACGGCCAGCTATTGCTGTGCATTAATTACACACTGGCCTACCTAGGCGTGATGTATCCATTAAATAGTTTTAAGCTGTCTGGGAAGGGCATTGCTGTTTCTTGTCACCGACTGTGGTGATCTGTCTCCACCTCACTTTTTGTTTTAATCAGAAGTGTGACAGAGCTTCAGGATCAAATACTGGATTACTAGCGAACGCGGGAGTGTTGTTCGAGGTCGTTTTTTCAACGAAAGTATTTAAATAAATAAGAGTATCTCATTGAGCCTTGAAGGTGTCCAATACAAAGGTATCCAAAACGCATTCGTCGGTGTTCTAAAAAGCAATAGGTTACACCAGCAGCTTGTATGTTGTGCATCCATTAAATGCGAAGAGTCCATTTTATACAGTATGGACTCCAAGAACTTTTTAGCAATCGTTTAGCAATCGTTCAGATCTAACTGGAGGGGGGCATTATAACCTGTGTTTCGAGTGTCTTTTCATATATCGCGTTGAAGTGATCAAAGTACACTGTTTTGTTTATCGCATATTTGCAAAAGCGTGTAACAAGCGACGTCAATGGTCATTTCGGCGCATTGGAGTTAGATGCGGCAGAGTGCGGCCGTACTCAGATTAGTGGCTTGTCCTCCGTCGAGGACGTGAAGTTTAAGCAGACCA